TTTTTTTTTTTTTTCTTTTCAGGTAAGAAGCGGCACGAAGATTAGAAACGTTCTAGGATACGCGTTGAAAGAATTCTCGAATTATGACAGCGTTGTTTGGACCGCGACAGGACATGGTGTTGGAAAAGCTATTTCTTGTGCGGAACTTTTCAAAAAGAAACAAGAAGGTCTTCATCAGATCACTAACATACGTTTCGTGGAGTAAGTTATACGCTTTTATAGTACAGTATAGCACTCTTTATTTCTTTATTAATTGAACTATATGTGTTATAAAAGGTCAAAGAAATCGAAAGAGAAAAAGGAGAGTGAAACTGACGAAAATGTGAAAGTTCGACACGTGCCGGAGATACATATTTTACTTGCAAAAGAAGTGAAAGACACATCAGTACCTGGGTAATAAGTTGTTTTACGTTTAATAAAAATCTTTCGATCGTATTGGTATATACTATTTTTATGATGTCGCGTATAGATATCAGGCGCCTGGTAATAATGGAGAATTCTTAGATGATGAAGAAATGAAAAATGAGAGCAAAAGTAAAAAACAGGAAGCTGGTAATAATGTGACCCGCATCGATGCCGAGGAATTCGCAGCTATGGGATTGAGGACTGGTCAAAAAAGGTCAAAAAAAGAGCAGCAGCAAACAGAAGCGCCACCAAAAAAGAGTAAGAAAAAGGCGAACGATGATCGATAAGTATAAGCAGGGAAGATTAAATTGTAAATAAAATTCGATTAAGAATAACTTGCGTAATATACATAATTACAGACGAAAGTATTAATAAATTGTATTTTTTTTTTTTTCAAAACTTTGTATACTTGTAAGAACTCTAATTCTTCGTCGTATGATTGTTAATCATAAATCGTAAAAATGTAACATAGTTCATATCAAGTAAAAAGTTTATTTGTTGTATCAGTACATGCATATTTATTACAGAAATAATCACGCAATTTCAGTGTATTTCTGTCGATTCGATCTTCTCTTTCTCCGGTCATGCCGAGTTTCTTATTTACAAATTATATATACAGTGTTATAGCATGCACATTGCAGACTTATATGTACTATGAAAATTACAGTGCCTTCTACAGAGATTTAATTTCACAATTTTTCTTTCTTTTGATTTTTAGAAAAAGTTACTCGCAATAGACAATTAGCAAAAATCACATTTCATCAAGAGTAAATAAAATTGTTTAAAAATTCTTTCACGATGTCTATGTCTTTTTTTTTCACCATTAGTGAAACTGGAAGAAAGAACACTTTACATTTATCTGCTTTCTTAGTAATATATTCTTTGTATCAAATTCGTATAAGCTTACAAAAAAACCTTGTTTGAATTAATCGCAATTGATACATTGATATAATAAACCGAAAGGCAATAGTTTTTCCGAAGTATGTGTAATTCTTCTTTCAATTTTCTTAAGTTTTATATTAATTATTAGTGTGAACTATTTATTAGAGCTTACGTTTTCGGCAGTAGTATAGATAATCTCCCGGCACTGATATTGTTTTTTCTTAATAAGAAGATTAGAGAACACTTTCAATCTTGTCATTGATGGAATTATTAATTGTGTGTAAACAAATTAACTTTGTCGAATAATAGAAACATATGATTATAAAACGGATTGATAAATGTTTACTTGTATTCTCTAATCTTATTTTTAGAAACGTGAGTGCCATGATAACATAACAGGTTTCTATCTTTCTTCTTACGTTTAATACTTCGCGGACGATAAAAATGTAACATCCTTACTATTGAGAATCATGTCAATAACAGGAGGAAAAAGTACAACATTTCAAGTTCATCCCACGTAAGATAAATATGTTATAAATAAGAACACTACAACATTTATTCTCATTGCTAATAATGCATATAAGTGCTTAATTTAGTTACTGCACAATGATTATAGTTAAGTCACATTGATGACTTTTGCTACAATAAATATATTCATTTTCTCAAGATGATTCAATGAAGTAAGTAAAAAAAAAATATCGATATTTTAATATCACACTTAAAATTAATCATATATATCGTAATTAACTTACTTATAAAGAGAAATATAAATTTATACACAGTGATTAACATAATTGTATCAATGACAATGAAAAATTGTCGATAACATGAACTCATACAACTTCGTAAAAAAAATCATATATATCAATCCACTTGGTCTCATTATGAAGTGTCTTTCCACTTTGACAGTCGTAAGTTTATTTCTTCCAAAGATAATTTTAAATTACGTGGGAAAATGAAGATTTTTCTTCTAATGTTGTTAGACACAATTTTTACAATTTTCGAGAAAAAAGTATCCTTATTTTCCTACATGATGTAAAATCGAAAAAAACGAGCTCTTGATTGTTTTCAAAGTCTTAATCTCATTTTAATACCTTATCCTCAAGGTGGATCGTAATACGATTTTTTTTTTTTTTTTGCAAAGTTATATAAGTTTAAATTATCAACAATTTTCATTGTCATTAGTAAAGTTAGGCTCTTCACTGTAGTTTTAATAAAATTAAATATTTTTATACAAACTCATAATACTAAAAAGGGGAAGATATAAAATATATAATGAAGTACTACACAAAAAATTGAATATTTTTACTCTAAATTTACTTGAATTTCTTGTCAAATTATCTCGTGAAATGTTCTAAATTACTATAGTATATTAAAAATGTAAATTACTATATTATATTAAAATGTATTATATTAAAAATGTAATATTCATTAATACAGAATTTAACCTCGTGTAGAATTGTTTAAAATGAATTCATTTTTATATATAAACATTGCAAACATGTAAGTTTTAAACATGATGATAGTTTTAAATTGTATCGATTCAATTAATAACAAGAAATTCTAGTAAAATATTTCTAAACAGATTACCAAAACTTTCCAATGTTCTTACAATTGGAACTACAAAAGATATTTCAGCAATATATCAATATTACCAACGATTTCATTAAATCTGACAAATCAATTTTGGGCAATATAAATAAACATTCAAGTCCTACGCTTCACTTTCTGTCGTTCCCTCCTCTTCCATAATTGGTACTATCAAACTTTCTTTCGACATCAAATTATATTTTGTCACAAATGCTGTAAACCTGAAACAAAAAAGATCAATTAATTAAGTAACAATATTCTTGTTAATGCTTTTACAAATAATCATTTTACCTGCGACATAGAAAAGTCTCATTTTCAAATTCATCAAATATTGTTCTATGGTGATAATATGCATGGGAAAAGATTCTGTAAACTCTTCGACTAACAGATCCAAGTTTTGCTACTGAAGATTCTTTGATACTTACTCTGAAATAAAACATAAAGAAATATTTATATATTTTAATTTCTTATTTAATAATCTTTTGATAATATATATATACCTGCTAGGAAAATATTTGTTACTGTTGAGTAAACAAGCTGCGCCATCAAGTGTATGTCGTGTGTAATCAATAGCTGGACATTCTTTAGGTGTTTTATGTGCAGCACAAAGAAATATCCATTGTTCAGTAGCTGTCATTTGAGTGCAAGCCTCTGGATGACATTCTGCTTGCAGCCTTACTGTCAAACCATTTAGTTCCATACAGAATTGTCTTAAATGTTCATACTTCCATACTGCTTCATCTTGCGCTTCTGGCATTTTTAATATTAGATCTACGTTAGATGGATCTCTTCTAATCATCTGTTGAATATATTGTTGCACAGCCAATGTGCTGTCCATTTCTTCAAAGGGTTCATCAGGCCACCTACAGAAATTCTAAACGAAGAAGGTTCCTAAATTAAGAATGTTTAATAAGAAATGAGAAATTAATGTCATCTATGTAACTCACTTATCATGTGAATAATCTACTACAATAATTGATTAACTATTAAAAAGTACTGTATTGTCATTATCTACCAAAATTTTTAAGTTTGTACAATGTTGTTTGTACAAGGGAATAACCTATGAATGTATTAACATTCACACAAAATTAATACGTGAGTGAGAATATAAAAGCAGTATAAACGAAATATTGTAAATTAATAGTTTGTAAACAATAGTTTCTTTATAAAGCGTTCATTGATTTTCGAAATATACGTCAAAGACGCAATTGGACATTTCTGTACGTATGCTGTACATAATCGAACTACTATTGAACGATAACGTACAAGACATAAAAAAAATAAATTCTCATTTAAAATTAACATTTTTATTAACCTTTGCTGTGGTTCCGGGTCTATTTCTTCTAAAGAATACACATCCGTCCGCCATCTTCATTTTTCCAGTTGTTGCATCCGATTAGCATGCACGTTCGATTGAATCAAATAAAAAGATCCGAGATGTCGTAATGTCGGCCTAGAGAGTAGCGACACCATACTATCACTACCATAGCGAT